GTGCCCAGAGAAGCTGTGGCTGCCCCATCCCTGGCAGTGCTCAAGGCCAGGTTGGACACAGGGGCTTGGAGCAAGCTGCTCCAGTGGAAGGTGTCCCTGCCCATGGCAGAGGGTTGGAGCTGGATGAGCTTTAAGGTCCTTTCCAACCCAAACCAGTCTGAGCTTGCAGGGTGAACAGACATCACTGTGGCCAGTGCAGTCTCTTGGTTTAAAACCAGACCTGCTCCTTGGGCTGTTCCATGTCCCTGGTGAGGGGTATGTGCAGGCTCCACGCACCAAGAGGCTGCTCATCTACCATGACTCATGAGTGACCTTTGCAAGAGGCTGACTTCTGCCTGGCTGGCAACAGGAGAACCACCACCACCACTGCTCCCCTGCGCCTGCTGGCGGCTCAGCACAGAGATGCTGAGATACCTTCAGAGGGAAGCTTTGGGCAGGACAGACAGCTGGTGGCCACATACCTTCCCTTTCATTTGATAGTTCTTATGTGTGTATATAGATGTATTTAAACCCCTCTTTGTTCTGCTCCAGTTTTAGGGACATTTCCCTCAAAGAGGTTTTTTTCTGGGTGAAAATCTGTGCTGAAACCAAGCAGCGAAAGGGGTGAATGGTGCTCAAATGACCTTGCCCATCGCATCGCTCACAGCGTGGGGAGCAGCCTCCCAACCTGCCAGTGCTGATGGAGGCTGCAGGGTGTCTCTGCTGCAAAAAGCTGCTGCTGCTCCCTCTGCGACTGTGATCTTATCTGAGACAGACACAACTGCACAGCGCTCGCTTGGTGCTTGTTATGAGGAGCCTCTTATTTTCGGTGCTGAGCCCTGGTTGAAGGCTCAAGGTGCCTGGGCTGAGCTCTGCAGTTGCTGCGCTGCGGGATGAGGGGGGGCAGGAGCAGTAAAAAGAAGGTGGTTCCCCAGTTGCCAGCTGTGATTTGTGATGTGCCACAGGAAGGGCAGCAACACCTCCTCCTGCTTGGCTTTGTCTCAGCCAACTGCTGCCTGCACACAGCAGGCAACCGGGAGAGCTGGTGCCCAGTTCCCCACAGCCACCCTTTCCAGGTTCCCACATTAGCATGACAATTGCAGCCCCAGAGGCAGGGAAGAGAATGCAGTCTTGGAAACAACAATATGCTAGAAATGAGCAGAGAAATTAATAGCGTAGCGAATTGTAATGCTCAGCGCGTCGGCTGCATGTCGGCCTTGAAACACAACAGCTCTATGTGCAGCCTTGGCGTGGTTGTGCTCATTTCCAAACCTTGTGTTGCATTTGGCCATCATTTCAATACCTGCAATGGTTTCCTGGGGTAAGAGCCTGCAGGGCACCATCCCTGGTACCCCAAAAACAGTGTGTTTTATTGCTGTTGCCTTTTGTCCATGCTGTGTATCAACGCAAAGATGCTGTGCTATCTGAGATGAATTTATAACAGTGAGAGCCAGTGGGGCTGCTGGAGTTCAGCTCTCAGGGTGTTTTGGGTTATAAATCTTGATTTCTGAGGGCTTTCTTATTTAGTGGTATATAGCTCAGCTATCAACATGGTTACAGCAGTGACTGCCAGCGCTGGTGCTTGCTGTGGCCCGTGGTGAACCCAGGGGCACAGCAAGAGCAGCACTGCTCATGTCTTGTCAAGCTTAAAAGAGCTTCAGGAACAGCCTGGATGAGGAGCTGGAAGCTGTGGAGTCCTATTTAAAGCTGCTCACATTGGAGCCATACACGTATGTGTGTTGTAATCTGAGATTAGGGTGATGCCTGGGGAGCCGAGATCCGGGCGAGGATGTCCCTGGCACTGGTTGATGCATTCCTGCGTTCCCCATTTGTGGCTGTGGCACCAGGATGTTGAACTCAGTCGAATGGCATTTCTTTTTCCAAACCTCTTTGAAAAGCAGCTCTTTGGTGGTTCTCGGTGCCAGCGGTGACCACGGCTTCTCTGGTGGAGCAGCCAACAATTCCTTTGGCTCTTCTTCGAACTGAGTCAGTTTACTTGAGCGTTAACCTTAAAATAGCAACTATTTCTGTAGCTGATATAATTAATCTTGTGTGTGTGCGTTCCTTCCCCATCCTAAGCTTTGAGGCTTCACCACTCCCCCGCTGACCAACTCCCTGCTTTGGCACAGGAAAGCTCTTGGCAAATCCTGGCTTCTTCATGGAACAAACACCAAGTGTGGGCTGTGTGTGCTCTGCTCCCTGAGCTCCCTGCCAGGCAAAGGCTGTTTGCCTCCACCACCACTGTCTCCAGGAGCAGATTCCTTGTTCCAGTGCACCTTCTCAGTCTGCTTTTGGGTAGGGGGATGTCCACAAGTGTGGGCTAACACTGGCCCTAGAGATGGCAGTAACAGAGGGATGGATGGATGGATGGATGGATGGGTTTAGCGATGCACTAGGGAAAAGGGTCTGGAGAAGCCTGAAGCGTGAGTGGCCCTTGCATGGTGCCTCATCCAGCCCTGGGAAGGGGAGGAGAGAGGCAGGGGCTGGGCTGGGATGTGGTATTTCTCCTCCCCTTCCTGGGGCAGCTCCTGCATCAATGCACATTCAAGCGTGCAAGTGTAGGATACAGGACCCTATCCCCTCCCCAGTTTCCAGCCCTGCCTTATGGCTCCAGCTATGCTGCAGCTGGGCTCTAGACAGTGCTGTGCTGTTGTACCACTGATGTGTCAAGCGAGGAAGGGGGAAAGCAAAGACCTTTTGCAGTGAAGCACAGAGTACGCTAGAGCAGGGGGACCGAACCTCGCTGCTTGGATGCAGCGCTGTTCCCATGGGGTGACTGGAATCCTGATCCATCAATGAGGATGCGTTGGGGACAACCCCCGCGGTGGTGTCTGAGGATGCTGCTTCAGCGCAGCGAGCCCACGTGGAACAAAAGGCTGCGTGGCTGAGCCTGGCAGACTCGCTGTGTCCTGGGAAAAGGAGCTCGGTGCGTTTATTAAACACTTGGAAGTAGAAACCCGAGGAAGGAAAAGCTCCCTGCAGACACAGAGCAGCCCACGCAGCTCCCAGCTTTTACAGTCAGAGCATGGAGCATCCTCAGGATCCCATCCCAACCTCTGGCGCTGGCGTGGTGGGAGAGGCACTGGCTTCCCTATGAGCACGACCCTGCTCCGACCACAGCACGGACAACCAACATCTCCCAGGGAGCCATCATTTCCATGGCAGCACGTTGCAATATGGGGAACAGGCAGCGGATGCACACGCGGTTGCTTCATAAAGCAGCCAGCCCAGGAGCCCCTGCTGCAGGCACTGGTGATGGGGAGGTGAGAGGAGACACAGGGGCATCTGCAAAGCAAAGCAAAGCAAAGCTGCTCTCAGGGCTGGCTCTGTGCTGGGTTTTCCTCCCTGAGCAAACAACCCAGCTCCTTCCCTGGCGCGCTGACCGCGTTCAGCTGCATGGGAGTGTTTCGTGCCCTAGACACTGTTCACATTTCAATCCCGTCAGCCCCCAGAGCCTTTCCGGGCTGGGGCTGTGCTCCTCCGGCTCTGGAAATGTCGCTGCATCCCAGAGAATGCCGCTAGTGGTGTTAGTTAAACAATAATGGGGTTAAAGCGAAGCGTTAGGAGGAGAAAGTGACTGCCTCGCACAGTTTCCGATTACTTTTCTCCTCTGGTCTGTGGGATCTGAGCTCTCTCTTCAGTGTTCCCTGTGGTGGAGGCAGGGTAGGGGTTTAAATAGAATGAAATCCCTTTAACCTCCGTTTTGCAGCAGCAGGGCTTGTGTTAAAATGCCTGTGCTGCATGCGGTGGGTTTGGGACCCTGCTGGTCCTCTAGCCAGGTACGGATGCAACATGGCTACAGATGAAGGGGTATACTGCGAAAACCTGGTATTTTGCTGATGGACAGCAAAGGACAGGGCTGCACAGAGCCTTTTGCAGCATTTTTGGGTAACAAACTGGAATATGCTGAGGCTTTCATCCCTAAAAGCCGTGCAAATGTTGGTGGTGACTGGGGAGGATGCTGGAGGGAAGGCAGGAGCCTTGACTGTGCTGCAGATCCCCCCAGGGGACAGCTGGTGCTGGGTGCTGATGGGGTGGTTTGTACTCTTCTGCCTTAATGAGCTCATTTATGGGAGGATGGGTTAAACAGGAGGGTGCATTTTAGCAGCATCCACCTGGGAACGTGTCCCTGGAGCAGCGAGCATCAAACAACCGTTTGCTGGTAGAACCCAGGGTTGAATCATTGCTCCTTTGCCAACCCAGAGCGTTTTGTGTTGGGCTCCCTGCAGACAGGTTTGACTGTATCCAAGCACAGCCTTTTCCCTCCTTGGCTTCACCCACAGAAGTCCAGGCATGCCCGGGCAGCTCCAGTGGGGCCTTCATTGCAACACAGGAGGGAAGAAAACTGTATTAATCGTGTGCATCGGTACAGCTAATGAATGTGTGCACACAGAGCGCTTTTGTAGAGGCAGAAAGCCCTGCATGGTTTTGAGGTGGAAAAGAGCCGAGTGCCGCTGCTTTTAGCACTTGCATGGTTTCCTGGCTGTGCCACAAACCTGCTGTGGGTTCAGTCAGTGGGGTTTGGGGGTTGGTTCTGTTGCACAGTGAGCTTATAGGAGACCTGAGGACCCTGGGGTGCGCAGCACAGACCTGCCTTCAGCTGGGGGCTGCCAGGACTTGGAGGATGCTTCTCCTCCAGCTGAAGGTGTTGGTGTCTCACCAAGGTCACCCCAGCCCCAGGCCCTCAGCTCAGCCCTGCTTGGGGCTGTGTGCTCCCACCACCAGCTCCCCTCTCCCCAAACCCCCCTGCTCGGACACCCCTCAGCAGTGGGGCCCTGACACCCATCACCCCCCACACACACACACACACTTCCCGTTTCCCGACATTTTCCTCCCGTTCCTCCCAGCGGAGCGGCTCGGGGTGCGTGTGTCTGGGATCCTCCCCCCCAGGAATACCCCCGATTCACGGAGCGGGGCCGTGCCACAACCCCCCCCCCCCTTTTCCACTCCCCCCATCCCTATCCCGCAGCGCGGGGCGGGGCTCACCGCTTCCCCCCCCCCCTCCTCCTCCTTCTCCGCTTCCCCCTTCCGCGCTCCCGCAGCGCGGCCGCGGCCGCTCCGCGCCTGGCGGCGGAGGCTGCGCGTAACCAGGGACACGCACACCCAGCGCGGCCCCGCAGCTCCGCGCCCATCGCTTTGCGGCCGAGCCCCGCTAACAAAGACCGGACCCGCACCCCCTGCATCCCGCTCCATCCCCATCCATCCCCGCCGCGGGATGTAGCCGGGCCGGGTGCTGGCAGCGAGGCTCCGCCGTGCCCCCGATGCCCCCGCAGTGAGGCCGGGCGCGGTGCTGCGCGCTCCGCCGGGGCTGCCGGCCACCATGGGGAAATCCAACAGCAAGTTAAAGCCTGAAGTTGTGGAGGAGCTGACCAGGAAAACGTACTGTGAGTGACCGCAGCGGGCCGGGGACCGGCATGGGGGGGGCCTGGGGCTGCGCTGGGTTCCGCGGTGCCGCCCCCAGCGGCGCAGGCTCGGCCGGGCTTTGTTGCATGGATCCCGGGGTTAGCCCGGGTGGGTAATAAAGCGCACCCCACACCACACAGGGACGAGGAGAGGGGCAGGGAGACGGGGGAACGCTCTGTTTCCTCATTAAAACAACCCTTCGTGGCCTGTTTCTCAGTCTCCAGCAACCGCGGGGCAAAGGGCCGCATCCTGCCTGCCCGGAGCAAGGCGCCTTCCCTTATTAACCCCCTGCTCCGAGCATCTTTGCTCCCAGGGCCTCGCTGCCGGTCGGGGATGCAGGGACCGTGCTGGTTGTCCTCCGGCGCTGCTTCCCAGGAGCCAGGGGGCTTCTCCATAAACAGGGAACCAAACCAAAGGGGGTGGGTGTCTTGCAAAGTTTGGGTGCGTTACTTGCAGGGTTTCCTTTGTTATTATGCTCTGAAGCGGAGCAAAGAGCCCAGCACCAGGGAGTTGGGTGTTTTTCTATGGGTATCTCAGTATCAGTTTAATAACCTGATTTTCTAAGTGAGTGGCTTTCCTGTCTGAACCTCCGCTGTAATCTTATTAACGTGGCTACTGTCTGAGCCATCCAGTTTGAGCACGGTCAGATGGGTTTATCCCCCTGAAGGATGCACAAAGGAAACAAAGGGTTTGGTGGCTCAAGTTTGCCTCCCCGCTTGCAGGTCGGAGCTATTCCCCTCCTGTGTAGCAGCCCCACAAGCTCTCCCCGCTGTCATTGCTGCAGTCCCACGGCAGCGCTTACCCAAAAAGGCAATAGATCAGGATGCAGCAAGTTCTCCCATATGGAGGAGAGGCAACGCTGGTGCATTGCACAACCCTGCACGCGGGGCTGCTCTCTTGTCGGGCAGGTTGTCTGCATAGCCAAACTGTGAGCGGTGGGAGGAGAGGTTGGGGACCCCATTGGACTCACAGGGAGGGAACAGTGGGAACGTGGTGGTGATGCTGGGCTGGAGCTGAGCACCGGGTTGGTTTTGGTGTCCTCACTGCAGCGGTGACCCGCAGCGGGTGCCGCCGCACTGGGTCAGGGGCGGTTGTTGCTGTGCTGCAATCACCAGTGTGGTTTGCAGCCACCACGATGATCCAGTCTCCAATGGAGAGGGATGTGGGAAGAGCCAGCCCCGGCGCAGTCGCATCACCTGTGTGCTGGGCTTTCACACCCCGGGGTGGCTCCTCTCTGTGCAGCGAGGATACCAACCCCAGCAGGGCTGGTGATGATGCCCCATGTCCTACCAGCAACCAAACAGAGCACTGGTGAAACCGTGGCCTGCTGGTACAGGGATGTCTCTTTTGCTGGATGAAGCCAACAGAGGGTCGTTGTATTTGGAATCACTATTCCCAACTTCTAGCTTCTCTCTTTTGAGTGCTTTCCCCTTTCCATCACACCCCATCCAAGAACCACTCTGCTCCTCTGCTCCATCAATGACTCCGTGCCCTGTGTGGGGTTTTGCCTGCCTGCCCCAGGCCTCTCGCTGCCTCTTTTCAGGACCCATTTACCTGTACAGGTGCGGCAGGAGCCCCACAGCCATGCCGTGGGGCAGCACATGCCCAGGGCCTGGTGCAGCATCCCAACGTGCCCCGGCAGCACGCGCCTGGTGATGCAGTGCCCGTCAGGGAGAGCCCTGGTTAATTCCAGGCTCAGTTTTGAGCTGTGCTCGTTCCACCTCTCGTCTCTGGGATTAACGACTGCTGCTGAGTGGTTCTGCCCCTTTTCTGCAGCTGTCAAGGCGAGCGCGTTCCCTTTCTGCTGAAGCACTTCCCAGGGCCCTCCCAGGCACGTCTGAGAGCCTCTGGTTTATCTCCAGCCCCTGGGAGGCTGGAAGGTATTCATTTCCTTTTGCGTTCTGGGGAATCCAGGCAGGGGAGGTGCAGGTAGGAGCGCAGGGTTGCACTGAGTGCAATGGGAGGGACTGATCCAGACCCCTGTGTCATGGCTATTGGTCGTCATACCCACAAATCCATGGCAAACTCAGGAATTCCTGGGATGTTTCCCTTTAGGAAAGGTTTTACTCCACAGCACTGTGGGATTTTGGTACCTTTCTGGCAGTGAGCATCCTTCTAAGAGCATCCCTGCCATGTGCTGCCCATCCTGGGGGCTGCCTGCAGGCACTGGCTCTGCCTCATGTGTGGTGCTGTGTGTGATGCTGTTACAACACATCTGGGCAGATGCCTCCAGGTCCCACACTCGTCCTGGGGAGGTTCCCATGGCACTGTGAGCTGTGGCTGTGGAATGTGCAGGGTTTCTCCCACAATGGGGTTTCCTTCCATTGCATCATTTTCTGTCCGTGCCATTTCCAGACAAAACGAAGCAAATAGCAAAAATCCCCTTCTTGGTTTTGCAGGACCAGAGGGATGGGGCTTTGGGGCAGATTTACCTCATCCATGGCACACCGAGGACCCACAGCCTGTGCTGTGTCCCCTCGGTGCTCCTCCAGTGCCTGGTAGCTTCTTGTGTCCCCCGGCCACTGTCCCCTCTGGTCTCTCCATCTCCTCTTTGTGCCATTTCTCTGGCTTGCCTTGGTCACAGCAATCTTAGGGCAAGCAGGCGATGGGACCGTGCTGTGCCGAGGATGCTGCAGGGCCTCCATGAGATGTGAGACTTGACTTCAGTGCAGGTATTCAGAGCAGGTTGTCCTGGTCCTTGCTGGGGACTGCACACAGAAGGACAAGAATCTGTAAACCTCATCTCTTGGCTTCCCTTCACACTCTGCTCCTGACTCACAGTGCTGGGGACCAGGTTTTAATGGTCCTTGGACACCTGAAGGTACAGGAGGACATCTGAGGGCTTCTTCATAGCACTGGCTGCTCAAATCCCATTGATCCAGTATCTGAAGGGGGCCTATAGGGATGCTGGGGATGGACTCTTCATTAGGGACTGTAGTGATAGGACAAGGGGTAATGGGTTAAAACTTAAACTGGGGAAGTTTAGATTGGATCTAAGGAGGAAATTCTTTCCTGTTAGGGTGGTGAGGCACTGGAATGGGTTGCCCAGGGAGGCTGTGAATGCTCCATCCCTGGCAGTGTTCAAGGCCAGGGTGATATGGTTTAGTGTGAGGTGTCCCTGCCCGTGGCAGGGGGTTGGAACTTGATGATCTTAAGGTCCTTTCCAACCCAAACTATTCTATGATTCTATGACTTGAGCCCATCACCGTGAGCCGTTCAGGATCTCCAGGCACCTGATGCCCAGGCATAGCTCTCAGTGCCAAGCTCACCTGTCTGGCTGCAGGCAAGGATTTAACCTTCCTCAGAGGCCAGGCCGGTGCCATACAGGAGCAGCCAACGCTGAGTGATAACAATGATGAATAATAAATCATGTAATTCCTTGTACTTCCATGGAGCCTTTCATCCCAAAGCTCCTAAAGTGCTTTGTGATCATTAATTTATCAGTCTATCTTCCCGATGCCACGTTGAGGTACCTCCCAGATGCAGTCTTGGCCTCTGTGTGTTTTGTCCCAGGAGGTGATAACACCCAAGGCTTGAAGGAGCCATCGTCATCCCTTCATCATGGCCCCTCTTTGGCAGGGATTTAAGCCTCAGGGCCGAGGTGGGATTTGGGATTGTGCTTAAGAGCCTTGTGGGGCCGAGGGTGAAGGGTTCTGCTAAGCTGGAGCTTTATGAAGGTGCTGGGTACTCCCTGCATCCTGCTTGGAGCTGTGTGAGGGGCACGTGTGCAGCTGTGGGTGCAGAACATGTGTTGTGGGTGGAAGTGGTTCTGTATGGACCATGGGAGGAAAACGTGGTGCTGAGCATCCCTACTTGCAGCAGCGGTCCCAGCCACAGCATCCACAACCCTTAAAATCATGAAATGGGCTTAAAAACAAGAGTTGTTTGAGAAGAACACATTCTAGCTCCTATTTTAAGTCATTTTGGGGTGGTTTGGATTTCAGGGTTCATTTTCATCATGATTTCCCATGTCCAGATCTCCTAACACTGGATTTTTCTAACGCTGGCTGCAACAGCCGTCCAATCCAGCACCCTTGGAGCCATGTAGGTGCAGCAGCATCACTGCTGGCACCTGGCACAGGGTCAGGATGATGGTCCTGAGGCTCTGGTGAAGGTGTGGGAGCCGTGTGGAAGGTACCAACATGATATCCACAGCACTGGGAGGCCCCGAGCTGCAGAGTGGGAGCAGGGAGAAGAAGATGCTCTTTTCCCAAGAACCGCATCCCACCCACTGTGATCTATTTTGTGGATTCTAAACTCACTCTGGCAGCATCATTTTCTGCTCTTTTACAATAAGCTGCAGAATTGGCTCTGTGGCTCGGCAGTAATGCTCTGAATTAATGGGCATTAGTTTAAGAGCAAACTACAAACATATTGATCTGTAGTTACAGGGGTGCATCGTGGTGGGGAGGATTCAGCGGGAAAGAGAATCCTCCAATTGCAGCCAGGAAAATGGGTCTGTTCTTCACTGGAAGCACTGGGATGGGGCTTTGCTTCATGGCTCCATCCCGCCGGTGTGCAGGAGCAGAGCAGGGACCTCAGTGGCTTCCTGCTGCTGGTTTGGTTTTAGCCTCCGAAGTGTTTGGCCTCTGGTGCTGAGTTTCTCTGCCAGGTTGGTTGGTGTTGAAATCCCTCCTGTTGCTCATGCAGCAGCAGCAGGGCAGGACACCCTGGTGGTTACGCACCCGTTGTCCCTTAGCAGCAAGCACTGGGTGAAATACCTGAAGCACAGAGCCCCAAAACAGCCCCAAAGCTCCTCTCGCCCTACAAGCACCCATTTTGGGGCAGAGAACTGGAGGCAGTATTCCAGGCTGGGATGGGAGCCCCATGGGACTTGCTCCTGGGAGAGGGGTATCAGGATGCTGAGGTGGATGCCTGCCTGGGTGTGAAGCTGGAGCGGGGCTGCTGCTCCCTGCTTCAAGTGCTCTCAGTGTGTAATAGGATTTGGAGGAGCCCAAAAGGGGAGTTCTGGGGGGAGGAT